GGGTTTTTTTTTTGTCCCCCCCCCAAAGTCAGATCGTGATTTTTGCCGGCTGCCGGTACGAAGGGTCCCTTCCCCGCTCCCCGCCCGGGCGGCGGGGGCGAGGCCGCAGCCGGGTCCGGCCGTGGGAACTCGGCAGTGCTGTTAATTACCGGAGATTTTCTTAATAAGAAAGGAAACGATTCTATGCGATAGCCGGGGGAAAAAAAAAAAATTAAATAAAAATAAGAGGCAGCTCCTCTACAAGGAGGTATGGTTAAAAATGATCCGCGATGGAAAAATTGATGGGAAAGTTTCGCCGGACGCTTCGAAATTGTTATTTAGTTTTGATGGAAATGAACATTAATGTTCTGGGAGGGTTTCATCAACCGAGCAAACGTCCGGGGGATTTTTTTATGAAAACCAATAGTAAATTCTGCGGGGTCTGCTGATACTTTTCATGTAAGTGTACGACTATCGAGAAAACTTTATTTTTTTAATTCTTTTTTCTGGGATAATTTGAGAACGACTTCACATTTTTATCTTCGGTTCTCAAAGAAATCACGTTTCTCATAAAAACTAGGGCGTTTTCTTAGCGGACGGAAGCACACGGGACTTCTCAAACAACCTAACTTTTTGAAAGGCAGGGATTTTTAAAGGCAAAAGCTCGACCGAAGCCACCCCTGCGGCGTCCCGGAGCTGCCCCTTCCTAGAAGCCTGGCACGCTCTCGAGAAATAGCCTTGGTCGAATCTTACCTCTCCTCGGCTGAAAACTTTACCGAGACGAATTTCTAGAGAAAACCAAGAAGCAGCAATAGGTCTTTGCTTGCTGCGGCTGGGAACTTAACAGGGACCAAATCAGCGGGCTCGGGAAAGCCCAAACTTCGAATTGCAAGGAGAAAAAATACATATATATATCGGCGTTACGAAAGATAGCCAGCTTCCAAACGGGGGAGCGCAGAGAGAGGAGTCCTTTCAGGCAAGAGAGCGCAAGGCAGGGGGGAACTCTCCTCCCCTCCCGGGCACGGCGGGTTTCTCTCTCCCTCCGCCGGGCTCCGGGAGC